ATCCCTCTTGCTGTTCTGGCTTCTGTGATAGCTGCACAGCCTGCCTTCGCTTGATAAGACGCACACACATTCCCCCTTACTTTTTAGTAGGGAAAAAGTGAGTCTTATAGAGTAAAAAATACGGTAGGTGCTGCCACACTGAAAGAACAATTTTGGAAGTGCAGAACAATTATTTTGTGGCGCTTGTACCACTTCCACAGGCTGAAGGGGTCGAGTGGGTGTATATGGGGTGAGTCGATCCCACAAGCAAACTGGCCCCCATATATGTCCATAGTGACACCTTGAACTTGGCTCAGCAGCAAATCAGAAACCCATGCAGATCTCGGCTCTGCAGCATTCTGCGTGAGTTGCTGTTTCTGGATCTGGTGCAAAGGAAGCCCCACATAGAGTGCATTGCAGCAATGTAACTTTGAAGTCAGCAGTGCCTGAACTGTTGAAAACAAGGTGCTGAGAACACTGGAAGGAGCCGCTGGCATTGTGTCCTGCTTCTGTCTAGCCATTGCTGTGAAGGAGATGGAATCTCATCCTCACCCAGTAAGGCAGTTTTTGCACTCTTGATGTCTGATTGGTTGGAGCAACAGGGAAGGCAAACCACCATAAAAATGGAATGAAACGCTACACCACAGCCAGTGATCTATCTCCCTTGAAAGTTCTGTCTTTTTCCGTAAGTGGCGCAGTTCTGCAATATACCTCCCCCCCTCCCCCCGGCTGAAATTGCTGCTCTGTTTGAACTGCTGTTACAAACAGCAAATTTCAGTTAACGCACAATCAATGCCGCGTTGAGTGAACACCTCATTTGGTAGTTTCGAAAATGCTTTTTAGCTTTATTGGGGCATTTTCCGGGTGATGTATTCCTTTGGGAAAGCCACAAATGGCGTTGAAAGCTGAAGAGGCGGTTGAAATTCATTTTGTGTCTCTTATTTTCTTTTAAAAAATTGTGAGGGTGCAAAGAAAACATGCCCATTAAGAACAAAATAAGCATCTTTTTCCTCTGACTGTATGTTTCAATCATATCCTTTGGTGCCTTCAGTCTAGCACTGCTGGGTGATTTACTTCATAAAATAATTACATGTTGTTGTTATTATTCTGATTGCCTTTTGAGTAAGGCATACAGACTGTGGCCCTAGCTAAATTATGTATATAAAGCAATATTATTCCAGTTTAAACAGTCATTGCTTCTACCCCCCAAATAATTCTGGGAAGTGTAGTTTGTGAAGGGTGCTTAGGCGCCTATTCCCCTCACAGAGCTACAATTCCCACAGTGGTTTAGCAATAAACCCCTCTTCCCGGGGAATTCTGGGAACTGTAGCTCTGCAAAGGGAACATGGTTCTCCAAATAACACTCAGCACCCATAGCAAACTATATTTCCCATGATTCTTTGGGGGGAGCCATGACTGTTTAAAGTGGTATAATGCTGCTTTAAAAGTACAAATGTGTATAGCTGGAGTCCAGACTGAGAACAAATGTCAGATCCTTGTTCAGATCCCCACTTTTTTACAGGAAAGTTACTGGAGGATGGTTCAGACATGTTCATCACTTCATGAACACAGCATCAGGAGACAACAGGGATGTCGAAGAACTCAGTTTCAATCCAAAATGAATTTATCCAGAACAAATTTCACAGACTAATGTGCAGATTGGAATGTAATTATCCTTTGGATTTTTGCACCTCTCCTAATTTTATAGTACAAGTCTTGTCTCATAAAAAGTACCAAAATTTGTAAGTAGAGATAAAATACTTATTTAATTATTGATATAGTTTTTAAAGCGATAATGCGAAATTGACATGAAGTGGTTACAGACTGAGCTGTCCAACCCTAGTGGCAACTTATATGCATTTATGTATTCATTAAAATGTTATAGCCCACATTTCTGTACCACACAATATGGGGCCCCTGTGGCATCTCCCACCAAAGTATAAAAACAATTACAAATAAGATGATATTAAATTAAAACAGCAGCGGCAAATACGAAGAGGACAAAACTCAATTTTCCTTCTGTGCCAAAGGAACCTATGAATATTTTTAAAATAGAAGCCTTCCTCCTCTAGAGATTTCTACATTACCCTGTTTACATACATATCAGCAGGGAGGAGGCTCCTGTGATGAGCCAGCAGAGATTTTAACAAGCAGGAATTAAAAACTGTAGTATCGCTCAGCTTTTTCATGGTATCAGTTAACGTATCTGAATATAGGACATTACAAGAAAACAGGGGGAAACGTCCTGATACAGGGGCCAATTTGGGAGTCCTGCCAGTGCATTTGCACCGCACCAACCTTCCTTCCCCCCCTTCCCGGTAATCAACAGTGATCCACCTGCCAGGAAGCCAGTGTTGTCGCTCCACCCCATTTGGTGAGCAACTTCTGAGTGTCAGGTATGGGTAGGTGGGTATGGCTTGGGGGAAAATGAGCTGGAGATTCTCCATTCCTGGTGTAAGCCATATATTAACAAAGGACTAAGTATTCAGGGGGACGTGGGTGGCGCTGTGGGTTAAACCACAGATCCTAGGACTTGCCGATCAGAAGGTCTGTGGTTCGAATCCCCATGACCGGGTGAGCTCCCATTGCTCGGTCCCTGCTCCTGCCAACCTAGCAGTTCAAAAGCTTGTCAAAGTGCAAGTAGATAAATAGGTACCGCTCTGGCGGGAAGGTAAATGGCGTTTCTGTGCGCTGCTCTGGTTCGCCAGAAGCGGCTTAGTCATGCTGGCCACATAACCCGGAAACTGTACACTGGCTCCCTCGGCCAATAAAGCGAGATGAGTGCCGCAACCCCAGAGTCGTCTGCGACTGGACCTAATGGTCAGGGGTCCTTTACCTTTACCTAAGTATTCAGGGAATGAAACTAGAGAGAACCAGTTAGGTTGTGGCAGGAGATTTGAAATGAGAGGAGTTTAATATTAGGGAAAGACTCCAAGGACGTTGGCTCCCTTGGTTTTTCTTGGTCTCATTTTCAGCTTTGAGCTTCTGCTGGTTTTCGTCCGCAGTTCCATCTACCACTCCTAGCATCATTCTTGGATCTTGAAAGCATACTGGCCTGGTTTTCTTGGGAGCTAAGGAGGAGGTTTTGTAATTTACTTATAGATTCTTCCTTAAGCCACTTTGGAGATAATTTTTTTCTGGTTTTACCAAGAGGAGGTTTATCTTCCTGCAAAGCCAAGGGCTGATTGGGGTTAACTTCACTAAATTTTAGTTTTGGCTTTCTTAATCTGTGCAGGTCATTACTTTTGTTCAGGGATTTTCCCAGCTGAAAAGAGTAAATCTCACTGCAGTAAATTCGGTAGATAGGATGAGGAGTTTAGTTTGGTTCCTGTGGCTGTTGTTTTGTTCTTGCACCTTGGTGCTATTCCCCTCCCCTTCATAATCTCTCATTTACTCTCTTAAGATCTTAGCAACTTTCCCTGCATTGTTCTGCTTTGTGGCATTTATTCCTACATAATACAGTGGAACATTTCCTCCGCTTTTGATCCTAGGATAGCTGGACTGCAGGGGTAGTATTAAAAGAGATGCTGCATGGAGAGTTGTGGTTATTAGATACATTTCGTTTGCAATCTCCATATTATAATTGCTTCTTTAATTTGGTTTTAATGCAATGCATCGTTTATTTTGTATCACACCTTCATTGTTTTTAATGAATATTTATACTTTCCCACCATTTGCCTGCTATCTTAACAAGTACAGTGGTACCTCGGGTTACAGACGCTTCAGGTTACAGATGCTTCAGGTTACAGACTCCACTAACCCAGAAATATTACCTCGGGTTAAGAACTTTGCTTCAGGATGAGAACAGAAATCACACGGCGGCAGCAGGAGGCCCCGTTAGCTAATGTAGTACGTCAGGTTAAGAACAGTTTCAGGTTAAGAAAGGACCTCCGGAACGAATTAAGTACTTAACCCGAGGTACCGCTGTATTTGATTTCATTCCTTTTGACATGGCTCCTGTTCTTTGGTCACTACCCAAATGCTTGCTGGAGGAAATTAATAGAGAGGGAATTGGGAACTCACTTTTAATCCTTCTGTACAGAGTAGCCACCTGCTGTCAAGGCCCATTAAGTGGTCTCTTCCGGCAACGGAGTTCAGCATGTCCAAAGAGAAGAGTTGCAATAAAGTAATTGGAATGCTCTTTATGGAATCCCACCAGATTGTCTTCAGCTCGCAGCATTGTTATCCAATTCAGCTCATGACGCAGAGTCTCAAGATCGTGTTTTGACAAATTCAATGAAAAACAAAATAATAATAAATGATAGCTTTCTGCTGCACATGAGGGCTTCTGGAAGTGTTTTTAATCAATCACGCAGTTAATCACCAGGGAGCAAAAGAAAATGATGAATATAACTGTGTTGATTAATATTGCCATATTTTTAAACACTGAATAATTTATTTGCTCTTCAAGCTAGACACATTTATAGTGCAGATTACACCCTGGCAGCCTTGTCACGGCTAAAGATCACAATGACAGGGCTCAACATGCCAGTGCTAGGGCATGAACCCAGTTCTGTTGCCAGCACTGCAGCAGCAGTCGCAGCCAGTTTTGCACCAAATATCTCCCCACTCTCCCACCTCAAACTAATGAAAAAGAGACATGCAAGGGAGCTTAGTGCTTGACAGTGCACTTGCAAGGACAAACTAGCACTGTATTTACTTTGGACACTGGGTAGCTAATTGTTTTTATTGGTCCAAGGGCTGGATTTCTCCTTGATCCACGCTCCAGGGTCACAGGTTCCCTACCCATGCTCTATATGGTGCTTAAATGTTGCCGAACTACAACTCCCATCATAGCTAACTGTTGGCCAGGAGAGGAGAGTGCTCTTGTGTTCAGCTTCTGTATGAGGGTTTCCCACAGGCCTCTGGTTGGCCACTGTGAGAACAGGATCCTGGAATGCATGGGCCACGGGCTTGATGCAGCAGGCACTCTCTCTTCAAATAATAGATTCATAGAATTGTAGAGTTGGAAGGGACCACACGGGCCGTCTAGTCCAACCGCCTGTGATGCAGGAATCTTTTGCCCAACATGGGGCTTGAACCCACCACCCTGAGATTAAGAGTCTCATGCTCTACCAACTGAGCTATCTCAGGTCAATGGCTCTTCCTACTTTCTTTTGGTGCTGTACTTCGGGAACATCTGAAGGGCCAAATGTTCCCCACACCTGCTCTATAGGATGATCATGGGAAGGTTTTGCTTGCACTCACCTAAAATCTCTTACGAGTCGACTTAATCAAAAACTTTAGCTAAGGGTGAAAAAGAGGGCAGTTACTCAATGAGCTGCCTTGCTTAGTGTAGATAAGACAAAGCATAACAGAATGGGGGGGAATTAAGGCAATATTTGGACTGTACTGCTGATTTTTATATCTAGTTGTTGTTGTTTAGTCGTTTAGTCGCGTCCAACTCTTCGTGACCCCATGGACCAGAGCACGCCAGGCACTCCTGTCTTCCACTGCCTCCCGCAGTTTGGTCAACTCATGCTGGTAGCTTCGAGAACACTGTCCAACCATCTCGTCCTCTGTCGTCCCCTTCTCCTTGTGCCCTCCATCTTTCCCAACATCAGGTCTTTTCCAGGGAGTCTTCTCTTCTCATGAGGTGGCCACAGTATTGGAGCCTCAGCTTCAGGATCTGTCCTTCCAGTGAGCACTCAGGGCTGATTTCCTTCAGAATGAAGAGGTTTGATCTTCTTGCAGTCCATGGGACTCTCAAGAGTCTCCTCCAGCACCATAATTCAAAAGCATCAATTCTTCGGCGATCAGCCTCCTTTATGGTTCAGCTCTCACTTCCATACATCACTAATATCTAGTTGTAGCATTTCAGTATCTCTGTGCAGTGCTAATAGTTATAAATCTGTGACTGTTTTAGCCTTCAGCTAAGACCACAAACCTTAATAGTTTGGTATTTTCGGGAGGCTGAGCTGAATGTTCTACATCAAACATTTTCAGTTTTAAAGAGAAAGAACATGGGAGAGTGAATGTTTCATTAAAGGCCCCTCGTTTTCGCCCCTCTCACAGGTGCTTTGTGGTTCTGATAGCAATAGCAGCTGCTCTCCCCAGTGTTGCTCAGTGCTATTGCCTTGTTGTTTTTCATATATTTGTACAGTGCAGAGGTAGGCAGAAAGGGAGTTATCCTCACTGGCTTCAGACACCATCATGTAAGTGTGTGCAACTGTTTGTGTATTTGCCAGGCGGGAGACTCTTGGAGTGTTTGCCAGCCTACAGTTGCTTCAGTTACAAGCACCATCATGTGCATTCCTACTCAGAAAGAAGTCACATTAACACACAAATATGCATTATATTAGGAGAAAAGGATTGCAAAAAAGGTGTGGACAAATATGTGTTTTTTAAGATTGCACAAAAATGCAGAAAATTTTTCACAAGGCTTTTTTTCTTGTAAATCAGCTTTCTGCAAAATTCAGAGAGCTGAATTGAAGGCTGGAAAAAGTGAGAAAACTGAAATTGACAGATCCTTCCATCCCTAATGTAGGATTCCTCCCTTCCTCTCTCTTTTTAAATTGGAAAACCCAGCATACCTGCAACCCTGTGTACCAAGATGCAAATTCACTCCTCAGAAGGTGTTCCCATTATGTGTAATAATAGTCTGAATTTAAGTTTGGAAAAATGAGAAACTAAGACAAATGAAATTGACAGATCCCTCCATTCCTATCTGCCACCACCCACTCTGCTCCCCCCCCCATCTCACCAGAACCTGGAAGGGACAGTTCAGGTACAGACTATAATCACAGTTCAAACATGGAACGAAGGCTGCAATCCTATCCCCATATCCCCATTTACCAGGCAGTAAGTCTCATGGAACTGTGTCCCGAGTTGCAAACGAACAGCACAATCTTATGCTTGTCTCCTCAGAAATAAGCCCTGCTGAGTTCCATGGGGTTTACTCACTAGTGAGTGTGTGTAACACTGCCACCTAAGTAAATTGATTTATTTGCCGTCAACATCAGTTTTTATTTGCAATGCTGCAAATGTGAGTATGCATTTGCAACATTCAAGGCTGCTCCTTGGCTTTCTGAATTGCAGCTCGTCATGTAGTTACCTCTGAAAGGAAATAGTCCTGAATATGCATTGTGTGGTGCTACAAAATCATTATTGGAAGTCCTTCATAATGATTAAGTGAGGGGAGGCTCCACTGTTATGCCACTTCCTTGCCGGAAGAACAGAGTGCAGGAGTGGACCTTGGTAATATGGCATCCTGTGCAATTCCAAAATTAGACGTCCCTACCCACCCATTGGGATGCATATGGCGCTGTGGGTTAAACCACAGAGCCTAGGACATGCCGATCAGAAGGTCGGTGGTTTGAATCCCCATGACGGGGTGAGCTCCCGTTGCTCAGTCCCTGCTCCTGCCAACCTAGCAGTTCGAAAGCACAACAAAGTGCAAGTAGATAAATAGGTACCACTTCGGCGGGAAGGAAAACGGTGTTTCCGTGAGCTGCTCTGGTTCACCAGAAGCAGCTTGGTCATGCTGGCCACATGACCTGGAAGCTGTACGCTGGCTCCCTCAGCCAATAAAGTGAGATGAGCGCTGCAACCCCACAACTGGACCTAATGGTCAGGGGTCCCTTTATCTTTACCTTTACCCACCCATTGCTCGCACCTTCTTCCTAAACCCCGGTAAGCGAGGTGCTGGGCTTTGGAAAAGAGGACCAGGGTCCTAGAGCCCTCCTGTTTCCTTCCCAAAGCTGGACAAGCTCTAACTCAGGCATAGGCAAAGTCGCCCATGATCCCTAGCTATCGGGACCAGTGGTCAGGCATGATGAGAGTTGTAGTCCCAAAACATCTGGAGGGCCGAGGTTGCCTATGCCTGCACTAACTACGGTAATCATTGGGAAAGAGACAGGAGGACCCTCAGACCCTGTCAGACTCTTGTGACTCCTTTCCAAAGCAAGTGCTTACTAGGCTTTGGGAAAAAGGCGGGAACGTGCCCCCTCTGCATGTGGGGGGGGGGGACCGGTCACACTCTCCTAAATCCACCTCTGCAGAGTGACAGGGATCCTGGACAAGCAGATGCTGTTGAGCATTCTTGACAATTATTTCCAGCAGTAGCAGGATGAGAAGAAGCCATTCATTTGCCCTCACATCACGGTATATGTTCACAAGGATTTTCTTCATGGGCTCTGACGGAAATCAGATACAGACCAAAAAGAGCGATAGCCAAACCAAAATTCAATTCTGTTTGCTGCTCATCCATACGAGGTTCTTGGCATGCCGGCTGCTATTCTTGTCATTGTGTGGTCAAAGGATCGGTCTGCTGGATGCTATTAGTCATGGCTACTTTTTGGGGGGGCGGGGAGGGTGTCAAAACAAAGGAGGGGTTTAAATTCTGCTGGTGCGGTAAATATGGACATGGTTTGGTGCCAGCAGGAGTAACTGGGAGCCTAGAATGGAAATGCAACTTTGCAACCCATCCACATTCAAAAGACGCATCTAGACAGTGCAACGGGGCCTGCACAATATTATTAATAGATTCAGGTAGGTTAGCCATGCAGAAGCCTGATCCTGTACTATGAAGATGGCTGCTTTCATCTCTATGCCACTTTCCCATACAAATGTGCCCTAAGTGGCTCTATTACAAAATAGTCCATTTAGCTCAGTTTTGTCTGCACTGGCTGGCAGCAGCTCTCTAGTGTTTCAGACAGGGGGACATTCCCAACCCTACCTAGAGATGCTGTGGATTGACTCTGGGACCTTCTGCATTCAAAACAGATGCTCTTGAGGCTTCATTACAACCACAGCCTACTGCCAATTCATTGCAAAATATAGTCATCCAAAGCTGTGCGTTGTGACACGTTAGTGTGTCGGTTGCAGTGTACAGGTGTGTTGTGTGAACGTTCGCCATGCTCCTCCTAGGGCTGGAAAAAAGGGATGAGTTTAACCTCTAGTTTGCTAATAAAACTGAATTACTGTCAAGGCTTCAGGGAATCCTATCCCTCTCACAGTGGGATGCCAAGAAGCAGAAAAACAAGAAGAGTTCTTACCAGGTAAAGGTAAAGGGACCCCTGACCATTAGGTCCAGTCGTGACTGACTCTGGGGTTGCGGCACTCATCTTGCTTTATTGGCCGAGGGAGCCGGAGTACAGCTTCCGGGTCATGTGGCCAGCATGACTAAGCTGCTTCTGGCGAACCAGAGCAGTGCACGGAAATGCTGTTTACCTTCCTACCGGAGCGGTACCTATTTATCTACTTGCACTTTTGCGTGCTTTCGAACTGCTAGGTTGGCAGGAGCAGGGACTGAGCAATGGGAGCTCACCCCGTCACTGGGATTCGAACCGCCGACCTTCTGATCGGCAAGTCCTAGGCTCTGTGGTTTAACCCACAGTGCCACCTGCATTCCAGGTAGTTTATTCAATATTCACAGAGAGAGAGAGAGAGAGAGAGACGAAGGAATGCAGCCTCTCTTAGTTAATGGCGTTGCTCCAAGTCTCACCCCCTCAGTCCCTCCTATTGTACGTCACCCCTGCGCCGGCTGATCTGTGCTTTCTGCCTCTGAGTTTTCTGTTCTATTACTCTCAAGGCACGCTTTGTTCTGGGAGGGGGGGTCAGGAATGCTTTCAAGAGGCACTGAGTCTGTTAGCTGTCTCTCCACTTGTACGTCTTCTTCCTGCTGCTCTCCCAATATTTACCAGCTCCTCCCCTCTGCAGCCTCTGAACTATGACCTTCTGCAAACCACTGTTCTAACTCTATACTGTCCTCCTCTTCTCTGGAAGGTGCAGGGAGGGGGTGGTTGTTCCCATCATCAGTCCAGTCCCTGACATTTGCTGTGTTGTGAAATGAGGCACCTCTAAAAAGTGTGTCAGCAACATGAAAAGTTTGGGAAGCTCTGATGACAGAGATGTTGCTTATGGGTCGACTGAACGAAATCTTCCAGCATATCTATCCTTGGCTGCAGCTGAATGCGGAAGGCAGCTCTAAGAAAAACAGGGTTGCCATCAATCCACAGCATCCACTGGTAGCTAGGCTACATCACCGTTGTCAGCTTGATTTTAGAGAAAATAAAAATTGCAGGGCAGGATGATAAATGGGTTGTGAAAGCCACTAGGTTAGTTTCAAAGTCAGACGCAGCTATTACTCAAGTT